CTTATTAACTTATTAACTTGCACCGAAAGGTACCCATAGATAAAGACGAGATTGTACCTACGCCCTACGGCTCTGTAACTCGATTCCCAGACGTGTCATGCAAATTTATAAAAATTATGAGCTGACAAAATTGCCCAAAGCGGAGAAAAAAACTCGCATCGGTGCAAAGCAGCCCGCGCGAGTGACGTCGAAGCAAACTCTGTGGGGTTTTTTTATGGGTTTTGCTGATATTTTCAGCTATCTGAAAGTAGAGAAGTAGTAAATATAAAATAATGAATTTTTAAAAAGGTGTTACATTTAAGGTGCAGACAATTTTAATGTCTCTCTGATCTTCAGTTAAATTTATAAGATTCAATAAAAAATAAAATTGTGACAGTTTACTGCAAGTATGATGGTTCTCTAATAGCCAGGAAAAACTAGAGCAATGACAAGTCTTATATCCAATCCAAATATAACTTCAATTTTATACTTTTATCACCTTTATCACCATTGTTATTTACCTTTTATTTACTCCGCCTAATTTTGAATTAGCCAAACACATGAAATGACCGAACAGACAAATAGCATGCTTATACGAAAGTGAAGTTGGGAAAGTTTGCCCGAATTTGTGACGTCGTTCACTGCCTACTCTTAAAATTATTCATTTTAACTACGGACTCCCAGTTGGGATATCGGTAGGTCAACTGATTGAGAATGTTGTCGGCAAATTTGACACTTGTCAACTATTATCAAAAGCATGCAATAAAAATGAACACAAGTTATTCCTTTCTGTTTTTTTGTGAAAGTTAGTATAAATCTTCGCAATGGATTTCTCAAAGATAGCAGCAGAAGTTTGCAAAAATATTTGCAACAACCCAGAGTCTGCAATGCAGTTCACAAGGGATGTTATCGTTCGTTCTCGCAGTGAGAAAATTGAAAGTTTTTTAAAACAATTAACTACAAATCATGAAAATACCAAAACAGTTATTAAGGAAATTGTAAGTTTACGGACAACGTAGCCCTCAAATATCTAATGCTGAATTTGTAGGTGGTCTACCATACAGAGTCGAAGACAAATCAAACTGTATTTCGGGAAGTTACCTTTTTCATTATTGAGCTATTTTCATCAGTTATTATAAAAAAAAACTTGAAAAAGTATCTTCACGACCTTCTCACAGAATACCACCTGACCAATGAAATTATTAAAGAAGCTGCTGATTGCATTTTTAAAAAAGCTGCACATGAAAATATCTGTGATTTGAAGGAATGTCTTGAATTTTTAAACTTCACAGGGATAATGCAAACTTCACCTACTTACGATTTAGAGGAAAATATCAAGCCGTTAGTTCCTTTATATACAGTTTTGTACCGAGGATTTGTTCAGTATGCAAAGTAAGTATTTATTTGATTAAGCAAGCAAGCGTGTGTGCATACAATTTAATTTAAAAAATATGCGAAACAATGTACGTATATTTAAATTGTGAGGAAAGTTTAAGTGATTGAGGCTAGTCTTTAAACCTAATCAGAACCACTGCAAAATAATGTCTAGACAATACAACGAGAGACCACCAAAATAATCGAATAATTAATATTAAATTGCCAAGCAGCTACTGTCGAGCATTATTTTACTGTTCTGTCCAGTTCTGTTGTTTCGTAATTTGCAAAAGTTAATAATCTTAAATCTAAGTTTTACCATATTTCAATTGTGTGTGCACTCAAAATAGAAATTACCTAATTTTCATGTAGCGCCTATGTGCCTATTGCCCTTAGAATTTTTCGAACGTGACTTGATGACCGATTCTGTCGAAAGTACCACTTAATATTTCAATAAATTGTTACACTTTAAATTTGCTTACCTTACTTAATTTGTTACTACCATCATTAAGTTTATCATAAGTGCGTGTATATGAACAGATGGTAAAACATTAAATTTCTAAATCCTGAGCCAACTTCAATACGAATAATTAATATGGAGTGACTACTGAAATTATCATGCTTCCACCTACTTACAAGGTGTTGGAAACAGTCGATTTTGTGTGGTTCTTTTAATACACTTTTTATATATACATACACACCATTAAGTAGCTACGAAACCTTTATGTTAATAATTAGGTACGGTTTTGAAAATTAAAATGTTTTATTTTTAATAATAAAAAAAACTAATTTGCTTCATGTAGGCATTAAATGTTATTGCAAATGTGAGCAAAGGATTGAACAGTGTGGAAAGAAATTTTTACACTTGGCAGCTCGAAACATAACAAATTTTAAATTTGCCTCTATATGATATTTTTGTATTGAATTTAGTTCAGCCCTTACCCATAACCATTTTTTCAATCCATTCAGATACGGCCAGCGAGTATTATCTTTGTGCGGTTTTTTAACGTATTCTTTCAAATGGAAAGTTTCCAGGCCTCTTATTGAAAAGCCAAAACATTCGGAGGTTAGCATATACATTGTAAATGCAAGACCAAGACCAAGACTAAAAAATATCGCCCTGTACACTTTTAGCTGGTGACTTATTGAATGATGTCAATCTCAGAGTTTAAGATTATAAATAGCTCAAAAAAGTTCGGGACAAAATTTTAAATTTCACCATCGTATATCTCAAAAACGCTAAAAAAATAAAACGGCCTTAAATTTGAGACATGCCCAAATAAAATGTTTTACAAATGTGTAGCAGTCTCAACCATACAGATAGAACTGATCTACTTTCTATTTAAGTTTTAATTAACAAAAATATGTTACTGTGGAAAAAATAGGTTTGAATTTTTAAACGAAATTTTACACTTGTTGAGGGTTAAAACAATACATGTGTTGTGATCATCATATTGCTTTTGGTTTCACCAGTGGCGTTTTTAGATAAAGAAAAAAAATTGCTGCTGATGTGTCTTAACATTTTATTTGAAAAAATTAAAACCGTCGAGAAAAAGTAGCGCAATATTTTTAGTGTTTGTTGTAGTGAAAAAGTCTGGTTGTCACCTTCTTTGCGGCTTTTACGTAATTTGGAATTAGTTCACGTTTTCTCATTTTAAGATGTTCTTTACATTTATTTTATTAAAATTGATATGCAAAGATCGAAAGTTAAGAGTTTTTGGATTAATTATGTTATTGAAAATTATTTGTTTTATAAGCTGCAGCAGAGCATGGCATCCACTTTGCAAACACATTGTATATAATTGATTTATTCTGTTTCAGGTGGCTGGAATCTCTGGAGCCTCCAGATGATGGAATTGCGGAGCTGTTTGAAATGATGCATGAAGTACTAAAACAGCTTCTATCAATTTTCACAAAAGATTCTCTTGCGAATAAATTAAAGAAGCAGTACATCAATAAATTGATGACATACTCTTATCTGCTTCTTGATAATGCAAAGACGCCCTTCGAGCTAAGATCGACAATATGTCTTTTTTTTCTGTTCTCGTACCGGGTGAGCCAAGGCACTCAACTAAGCATGGCCCAATTGGTAAGTCGCAAAATTGCCATTCTTCTAATCAAAACTTGCTTAGTATTGGGAATTAATATATAAAAGGCATTACTTCCTTTTTGTTTTCAGATAAATGGAGAAAGGTCACCATTTTCTATATCACTTGAAAATTCAGAGGCACCGAAAGATTTTGATATAGTACTGTATTGTTCGATTCTTGATCTTCTCCCAGAAGAAAAACTGATAACTGAACGAATAGGTGGAAAACCAGTTATATGTTCTTTATTTGAAGGAATACTTGAAAATTCAGAGATGTTGACGATCAGGTGAAGATATTGACTTCGTATATGCCGCAATGTTATTTTTATGTCTACTATCGTATTTCGAAAGTTCACAGAACTTTCCCATTTTTCATATTTTAATTTTAGAAATTTAGAAGATGAGAAAGTCATAACAAGCGTCAGTCGGAAGCTGTGTCAAGCGACCAAGCATTTGAAGGGAGTTGCTATAGATTTAATTCCTCCCTTACTAAAAGAAGGTTTTCGTTATGTTCTCCTTCATGCTGATCGTTGTACGGATATGGTAAAAACTGTTATAAAAATGTTTTTTGCGGAATTGGTTGGTTTAGCAGCATATCACTTTCACAAAGGTGTAGTTTCAGTTTGTCAGATAGACACAAATATTTACGGTTATATTGTTTTAGGTGTTACTGAACTGACTACTTTTATGATGAACTTAATCAATCACATTCCTGATCAGTGTAACATGAATTTCTGGACATATGAATTAATTGCAAAGTATTATGGGCCTGAGTTTTTGCTGGAGAAGTTTGACGAATTGCCAATACGTTTATTGAAAATGTTTCTGGAAAACCCAAATTTAAGGCTTCAGGTAACAAAATTTCCGACATCGAAAATAATTCTCACCAATTAACTTTGCAATATTTATAGATATCGAAGACTTACCGGTTCCTTGTAGAAACATGCTACACCACAGCGAGCAAGGAAGCTGAACTTGAATGGGCCGAAACGTGGGTTCTTCCCGCTGGCACTATCATGAGAGCGAAGATTGATGGCGAAATGAGCGAATTCTTTTGCAATTCCATCTTAGGCTCGGCATTTAACTTGCAACCTGCAGTATTAAGAATGATGTAAGAAACTAGGGATTCATATAATTTAACTAAACGTGTTGAAATGCAGATTTTCAGTTATCCAAATGACTTTATCGGAACCGAAGGCGATGGCAAACTTTTGCTGACTTGTTTAAATGAAGCCAGAAAACACGGGATTGAATTATCTTACCAGGAAAAAGACTCAAAGTTCTATTGGAGAGGCTTAATAGATAAACAGAAAATGGAAATGTATATGATTCATCAAAACTCACAGGTATACACGTTTTTATACATATATATATTGTATAATATAATTTGATGTTCTTTTCAGATAAGATTATTAGTTTTAGCTGCAGTAGCTAACAGCTTGAAATCTACTGAACTCTTCTCAGATTGGGAATTAATATACTTAATGAATTACATCAAATTTAACATAACTGTAGAAGGCCCTTCTGATAGAAAGATATTAATCGGTTTCTACAAAAAGATTTTGGTCAGATTTGATGCAGGTATAAAAGTGATTGAAAGAAATATAGCCAATGTAACGAAGTACATTACTATGTTTGGTAAAAACAACACACCGCAGTCCAAAAAATCAAAAACCGTGCTGGTGTTTTATAGCGAATTGAAAAAAAAGTACAGAAGATTTATTGATAATTTGATGAAATTTCTTATCGGTAAGCTGTAATAGAATTATCTATATTGCAAGATGTTACACGAGATGCACAGGGTGGCCCAAATTGGACTGTTTTAACAGAGCACACCTGTTTCTCGACTGGATAGAGCAAAGTCGACTTACTTCTAATATTCTATGAAATTAAAAAGCTCTGGTTGAAAATTGAAAAACACTAATTTGTTGATTGTCTGTGAAGATTTTGCAGTTTGTAAATTACTCCATGTGGTCAAGAAATCGGTGTTGAAACAGTCCAATTTGGACCAACAAGTACATTGTCATTATATAAGCTATTATTTATTATAGGAAATCTGTCTTCCGATTCAAATTTTCCAAGGCGAAACAATTCTCTAGAACTGCTACTGGTCATTTGCAACATAATACCACACCAGGAATGGATAACTTATTGGACCGCAGATGATGTTAAAAATAGCCATAACATTTTATTCGATACCTATGAAAGTAATAAACGAATGATCGTTACACTCTTCAAAACATTACCCCCAGAATATTTGGGATTTATGGTTAGTACCTTTGTAACTTCCATTCAGAGAAATCAAATGTCCTAAACAACAGGGATGGCGATTTCGTAAAACTGTTATAAATCGGTTACAAAAAGTTCCTATTACCTTTAAAAATATTTGAAAAAAGTAACGAAATTTACTGAAACAATTTTTATTTTCTCTGAGCTTATTTGAAAATATATTTTCTAAAAAAATAATCGTCACATTAATGAAACACTGTTTAATTCTCTACAACATTATGCTATCAAATCTGCCACTCAAAGCTTCGTTTTTGACCCACTCACATTTTTTTTAAAATTAGGTCTTATAAATTCTACGTACGCCAGAATGTGTAAGTAATGGAAAAGTGTTGATTTAATACTATTTATATGTATTCAAGTTGTTTTTAATTTTAGTTATTAGTTACATACATAAATCGATACATACAGCAATTAATTTTAAAATACGGACGTACTTACAGGTTTTGATCATTAAGGTTATATATGATTTTTTGCAAAAAAAACGGTTAAAATTTGGAAAAAAATTGTCACATTACTGGCGTGTGTAGAAATCATAAACCTGTGGCAAAACTACAGGTTTGTATTTTAGAAAAGTAAGTTGATGATATTGGATTGAAAACGAAACATTGACTTCCAGATCTGTTAGCATAATGTTGAAGAGAGTAAACCGTTTTTAATAATGTGGTAATTATTTTAAACCACCTTTTCAAAAAAGTCCAGAAAAATTATTGAGCTAATATCAATTTTCTTGTACTATTTCTCGAAGTAGTTGCCGTTTTCCAGCTTTCAAACCTAAAAATCATTTTGTTAAGCATCTAAATTTGAAACTGCTTTATTTTAACCTACTTGTAATTTGTTGCTTTACTTGATTTACATCATCCTTTCTAACCTAGTCATAAAGATATAGCAGTTGATACTTAGAATCACTATATATAAATTATTCTTAAATCTGCCCAGATTAAGACAATATTTACAAACTCATGGTTTCATTATTAAGAAAGTAATTATTCATTATATTTCAGAATACGGGATTCACATTTAGGTATATGCAGCGATCTATCGCCCTATCTTTAGACGTAAAGCCAAGCAAAACAATGTCTGCAGCTTATTTGCTTGAACTCTGTTCTTGCTCGCCTCATTTCTATGAAATTGTTCGCGGAGATCGTACAGACAACGACGAAATGCATGAACCCACGTTGGAGATGATAGACTTGTTGACAAAGAAGTTTTTGATCGAAAGCACGAATATTAAAGTCGAAAATATCGGCGTGACAAAAACAGCCGTGTATGGATTAATATTGAGCATTCGACATTTACTTGAAAAGAGCGATATTCAGCAACACCACCAGAGATACGCACAGGTGTTTAATGATTTAGCACCAGCTTGTATCAACATTAGCGAAACACTATTGCCTATTGTATGTAATCCGTCCCCAGAAGGATATTTGCCTGACAATGTGGAGGATATTGGTGTACATGATGATACACCCAATGCTCAAATAGTTTTAGTATACGCTTGGAGGACTATCAAAGAAATTACTTTACTATTGGCAGAACTTTTGAAGCAATCTGTTCGGCTGGAAAGTTTCCAAATAACTCTACTTCCGACGGCATCGTTAATTGAAATTGCACAACTCTTCATCGACATTTTTCTGCAAAGTAAGCACAGAGGAGTGTTCGAGCAAGCATATGTTGGTTTCAGTATTGTATGCGAGTCTTTTTGGAAATCCACAAATAAAGAGATAGCTAATTTACCCAAGAAATGGCTTCGCGATGCTGTTGACTTATGTATTGGAAAAAAACATTCCGACGATTTGTGTTCTACTAGAAGAAGTGCAGGTAAAAAAATTATTAGGTCGATGTGATAGATGGCAACTTGCATGCACTAATCGGACCTAACTTTGGTTAATTAAACCCAACTTAAATCTAGTGACATGTGTAAACATAGTAAAAGTTACTCATCATCTCAATTTTGATATGGTTTGCAGCTTTAAAATGATGTTAATCGGTTATGTAGTACCTAGAGTTTTTGTTTTCAATTCAATAGGACTGCCCTTTTTGATACTCTCGGTCCTGACCACGGATGGAGCTCCATATAATTTTCGCAACACTATTGACGATCTGCTCAAAAGCGCAGAAGATTCTGATAAATCTAGCGACGAAACCAGAACGCACTGTTTGAACGTACTTAGAGCTATATTTCGAGATAGTAAAATGAGCGAACGTGCATTACCATATGTGGCTGCAGGAGTGATTCTTGCTATATCCGGGTTCAAGAGTCCTATCTGGGGAGTAAGTATCAGAATGATATTGCCTTTCATAAATATCTAAGATGATTTCCTTGTTTTCTTTTAGATACGAAATTCGTCTACATTACTATTTGCAGCACTTATGACTCGGATGTTTGGGGTGCAACGAAGCTCAGACTCCGATAACATGTCCATTAAAAATAAACTAACAGTTCAAGTATTCTTTATGCGACACCAACAGCTGTACAAGTTCATGCTTAACAGTTTAGCTGAAGAATGCAACAATAAATCTAGTTTGATTTTGCAACCAATTCTGATGATTCTGTCTAGGCTATATCCTTCTAGTTTTGAGGAGCGACCAGAGACGGTAGGCGTTCAAACTTAATACTTTGAAGTAAACTTTTATCGCGGAACTGATAGCGTACCCACCCCAAAACTTAATTAGTATGATTTTAGCAGGTGTGGAACTACATTAAAACTCCTTTTGTTGTCTGAAAATGGCCCCGTTTCCATCCTTTATTTGGGTTTTTCTCAAGGCTGGAAAGACAGATAAAATCAAATAATACATTATAGCTTTTGTAATCAGTTACGCACAATACCACCATAACTACATTCAGACCTAAAAACAAAAACATCGCACATATAAGTACAGAGAAAKGAACCTCATATTTACATACGAACAATTTAAATAAACACTTCACATGCTCTTATACACCAGCTTATTAGTATAYTAACAATARTAAATAAATATCGGCATTGTTCAAATCTCATTATCTGATGACAACGATTYTTTACCAGCAAAAATGGGCATCACTTTTTCCCCGTTGGTTTGCCTAAAGATGTAATATTTTAYTTTATTTCTTTTTCTTCTCTTTCTAGTCTTGAGAAATMACCGAATAATGAGTCGAAACATCGGGCATTTTTAGAGAAAAMAWTTTAATCCAGTCCYAAACCCGCTACCCGAACAAACTTAGTAAATGCTTCTTTGCAAGTAGCTAAGTTTATTGCAATTATTTTTGTCCCAAAAAAGTGAAAAAATTTAGGGAACTAAAACTAATCTCTAGTTTATCATAAAATTTATAAGTGCAAATGAGTTTAAATTTAAATTAGAATACGGCAGCGCTTTGCGCCAAGGAATGAAGAGCATTTATTAGTTTTATTGTTTTAGGTATCTGATCTTCTGCCTCACATTGAAGTCTGCTTGAAAAATCCAGTATACAGAATAAGGGAAGCGGCAGCCAATGCTTCAGTGGCACTAATCAGGGTTGAAGACATTAAAACATATTTTGATAAATGTTTTGACAGAATTGCCAATCGGAAAATCGCTGATAACGAATGCCATGGTATTTTACTGCAGGTACTTTCCAGTATAGTGCAGAAACTTACAAATTTAAAATAATGTAAGTTTTTTTGTTTATTCTAGATGAAAAGCATTTTGAATAAAATCAAAGTAACAGACTTGCCATTGTCGCGCTATATTGAACAGAGCTGTTACATTTGGGAAAGTGAGGAAAGGCACTTTAGTCACATGACTATTAATCTTTATACGGAGTTGGTGACTACTTTCTTATATCAGTGAGTTTGCATTTTAACCGAAGAACATTCTCTTGTTAAAGGAAGATATATTTATTTCAGATTGAAACAATTCGATGATGTATATTGGCTCAAGCAGATCCTTCTTTATCTTTCCAAGACTATGACGAACCAACCCCGAGTCGCGTCTCCATTTACTTCTCAGGAAAATTTTGGTCGAACTCGCCTTCTGCTCGCTTATTTGATTATGATAAACAAAGTTGAAGAGACCGATAGCACATATTCAACTATAGCCATTGAGATCATGGCAATTTTGTACGCTCCACATTGCAGACTGAAGGAAACCTGTTTGCAGTTCCTAATCTGTTTAAATCAAGTTTATGAATACAATAACGAGATGGACATGTCAATTGTAAGTAAATGTTTGCTGTTTTGTTCGTGTGGTGAGATGTATTTATTCATTTACGCAACAAAAAATCGCTACTGGCTGATCATTAAACCATTTTTCGGTTTTAATCAACTCCCATTTTTCCATAACAGTTTCAATCTTAATATAAATATTTTTTTTATTAATGGCTTTAGTCAAAAATCACTTGCTTAGTCTTGCATTGCCCGTGTTTAGTCTTGCATTTATATTTAATTAATTTACAAATTTACATATGATTTTAATTTATGCCCAAATATTTTTTAGTGCGCCTTACCATGGCCTCGATATTCCCACTTAAAACTAGGTGAGGTATGTATCTAGATTAAGAAAATGTATTTCCTTATAGATTTAAATTATCCGGCATTCCTTTCGTTTACATGGTGTGTATTCTCTGAAGCTGGACGCTAAGGAAAACAATAATTAAATTCCATTGAATCGATAGTGATAGACATTCATATTAGTAAATACTTTAATTGTTTTAGGAACATAAACCAGATATTGAAGGACATCCTCTATTTAGAATGGGATATGTACAAATAGATAGTGAGATTAGAAAGCTAGTTTATTCGTTTCGACATTCATCAATTAAAAAGCTTCTTAAATACACACATTCGTATGTCAAAAGTTTCTTAGCACAAGAGCTGAAGAGGCCACATTATATTCGCGAAGATGACAGGGTATTGCTATTTCTCCTTGCAGCGTATTATCCATGCGCTATTAAAATGTTGAAGTAAGTGGTTCAGGGTAGGATTGAAATATTTAACTTAAACTTTCGAAAATAATCAATAGCGAATCCGAACTAGTCGGAACTGAAACCACTCAACGAATAATCCGATGATTGTATTTTCCAGATTAAATAGGCAAGAAACTTTAAATACCCTTGTAAATTTCTGCAATTGTGATAACGAAGAAATGATCAGTGCTGTGATAAGTTGTATAAGTTCATATTTAAGCGAACTGGATTATATCTTATAGTAAGTTCAGTAACATTGTTGAGCAAATGCTAATAGATTTTTTTAGTTACGGGTATGACGAACTACTGAAAGTACTGACTAATTCAGCTTCTCCTGCAGCAGCTGTTCACCGAAGGTTAGCTGTCTGTGAATTTCTATGTGATAATTATTTCTTATATTGTAATCGCGATGCAATTTTGAAAAGTAAGTACCTTTCGAAACGTTTTTATATGCAGGCGCAGTGATTAACTAATTTTTAGGCGACCAGTTGTGTACTATTCTAAACATTGTGATGGTTTTACTAGAAGATGATAACGTTAACATCCGAGAAGGCATGAGTAAATTTGAATATAATATACGAGTAAGAATTAAGATATCCGAATCCGTGGATGATACCATGTAAGCGAATCGCAATTGTTGGTTACAATTGCCGTATGAGAAGTTTATATTTTTATTTTTTAGACCAGGTTTTGAATGGCCAGTGAGTCCTGAAAAGGCAAGAGAAGACTTGGTTAACTTAATGACCGTGTTTCTGCCGCAAGAACAAGCTGTCTGCCAAATATTTTCTTGGGCTTGTCGATACTTTCCAGATTATTATGCAGAATCATGCGAAGTAAGGGAACTAAATCTGCAATATTTTCTCAAAGTGAACTGTTAAAATTTGTTTCAGATTTTTGAAAGGGGAGGATTGAATCAATTTGCCGAAAATACTCCCTTAGTCGACTTATGTTCAAAAGTTCTGATCAAAATTTTGTGGAAACTACCCGACGGTCTCTCCTATGACGATAGGTCTATATTTCTCGAAGAGCAAACGCTAATAGTTACTGTAACACTTCTCAATTCCCTCTTAAGATACGATTCGCCGATGATGTTGCCTAAAACGAAAATGACTGTGTTATGTGCGTTAAGAATGCTCTATGACTTTCTGGATGAAACGGAAATCGGTACAAATTTTGTAGAAAATTTTAAAACGTACTTCAATGAAACTACTTTAAGTTACTTGACTAAAACCTTACAGCTCGGAGACCATTTTTGCGTTACAAAACTATTTAAACAATTGTACGATCCACTGTTCCGACAGCGAAGATGAAAATACACCACCGTCTAAGGGAGACGGTGCTTTAAATTGAATGAAATCGTAGTATTAGGTTTGATTCCTACGTTCTCCTTGTTTTGTAGTTTTTGTATTAATGTAAACCCTTTGTACAACTCTTTATGTAACTACTTCATTAAGGTAGAAATTAATAGATTTTTATTCTCTTGGCTATTAGTTTTATTAGATATTGAGATAAACAAAACGCATTACTTAGTTTTCGCTGGGTTTGTCTTTTGATATGGCTTTTAGTTCGCAAGTACCTACCTAAACGTAAATAAAAAACATACGTAAGTGGAAATTATTAACTAATTTGGGAGCGCACAGCCGAATAATAACCATAAGCAAACTTTGCTTTAAGTTAATTGTTAAAATATAGCTTACTGAAATGGATGAGATCCTTTGAAAAACGGAGGTAACTTCTTTGCCGACACATATTATTATTTTGTCAGAATAAAACGAAGAATTAGTTTCGCATAAAGCACATAAAAGTCTATAAAATGCGCGACATAACACACCGAACCATTTCCACTACACGTTGTAACTGTTTAAATACCCATGTACTAAACATCTACACCTCGGTTAGATGATATAATCAATAAATTTCTATTCATCAAAAAATTCTAAACTTAACAGAGCAGTATTCAAAGGCGATAAATAAGTTATTCGCGAACGGCTTGATGTTTACTTTCAATTAGTCATGCAGTATGTTCAAGAGTAAAAATGCTGCTGTAAATAGCAAATGAGAATTTGTTATTTTTAATTCGTTTTGTATCTTCATTTTATATAGTAAAATTGCACAGTTAGTAAAAGAAAATAAAAATAATAAACTATTGACGACATGATAAAAATATGAACTTTATGAAATACCTTATTACACAGTAAAAATGGAATCAAGTTAATTTTAGCTAAAACGTATTTTCATTAATAGACCAGGAAAATTGTCCCCACTATGAACATACGTACAACAATTCGGAAAAAGGACTATTATTACTAAAATAACATGATAATTAATTTCAAAAATAATGTTTACATGAAACTTTATAGTAGAGATAGAAAAAGTACTTAAATTGTTTTAGGTAATTCATTGGAAATTAATCTTGTATTTTTTGACGGAACCTTAGGAAACGTTTGCACGGAATCATCAACATTAAAATTAATCGAACAAATAGAGGGACAATTTAGTATCAAAATGAAATTTGTGGTAATTTATTACTATAAAAAAGAGACGCGTTTGCCGCCATTCCTCCGAAAATGATGATTTTTTTAGGTTTTAATGCCCTCGTGAATTAGAATTTCTTTTGTTAAGCCTATTAATCTGTATAAGTATTAAAGTGTGCTTTAATGCTTACACATATTAATATAAACCGTACCATCAGCCAAGTGAAAGTTTTCGAGCAAACAAARATTTCYTTTTTTTCCTCTGAAGATGCAAGTYAGTTGTGCTTCCGAAACGTCAGGACGAAATTCTTATTCAGGACGGCATTAAAACCCCAAAAACTCACCAGCTTCAGAACTTATTGCTGTTTATCAACAATAACAAAATAAAACGAAAATATAGACACACTTAGGAAAATGAACCAAAAAAATATATATACAGGGTGTCCCATAAGCTCATGATCAAAAGGGTACTGCGATATTCTTTGAACCAAAAGAAGACGATCTGACCTAACTTTTATTAACAAAAATGTCTGGCTCCTCTGCTGTTGATGGTCCAAGTTTTCCAAAAAAATTATCTTTTTTGAAATATCGGGAAAATGGTACGATGTATTTTAGTGAAACTCGCTGTGAATTTGTTCTGGTGAATTCTTGAGTGTCGTGGTATAAAAACTATCAGAACTTTTTAGTTGGAGTATGAAATCAACTAATTTTTTTTAAGTTGATGCAATAGTAATTTGTTCACAATTTTGTGCTCTTTGTAAAATCTTGTAGCATTCATAGTTTTTGCGTAAAAAAAATATGTCTGTTTTCTAGTCACTTAGCAATCCTGTGATATTGATTGACAATGGTTTTATGCCTCGTATCACGATATTTGCAGTTAATGTCTAACATTGTTAAGTGGTAAGGAAACAGAAATATTTTTTTTCTCAAAAACTATGAATGCTACAAAATTTTACAAAGAGCACAAAATTGTGAATAAATGATTAGTGCATCAACTTAAAAAAAATGACCTCCAACTAAAAAGTTCTGGTCGTTTTTGTACCACGACACTCAAGAATTCACCACTTGTCCAAAACGGCTGAACTCGATTGTTTCATCAAAATATGAGTCTTACATAAGAACAAATTCACAGCGACTGAAATACATCGTACCATTCTTCCGATATTTCAAAAAAGATAAATTTTTTGAAAAACTTGACCATCAATAGCAGAGGAGCCAGACATTTTTTCAGTTAGGTCAGATCGTCTTCTATTGGTCCGAAGAATATCGCAGTACCCTTTTGATCGTGAGCTTACGGGACACCCTGTATATTGAACATCCTACAGGCCAGCAGCGAAGTTTTTGCGGACGTTTATTGATAATTTTGTACTCCCTTAGGTTGCGAATGTTTCTCATGAAACACCCTATTACAGGGCAGTTACCTTCATCAGGTATTTACCGATGATTGTCCAAATATATTTTTAAATTATTTCATTTTTTCGAGGCCTTTTCAGGCGGTAGATTTACAAAAAAATATGGGAATTAATTTTTGTCATCCTGTATAGGGAGCGCATTCCAAAAGGACGGAAAGCACTGGCGACGGGCTTCAGTGCGTCGCGACGCTTTCCGGGTAACGTCACGCAGCTTTTAGAACAAAAATAGTGAAAAACTCGTCGCTTGTCTGCTGTTCTCGTCAACAGGTTTGTTTATTTTTGTTTACCCACCTAATTTCGATTTTATTTCTTTTCGTTAAGTTTAAGTTCGACAATTTAATAAACCTATATTAAAAAACATACAAAATACAAAATTTCATGTATTTATATTATATGTATTTTCCATCTATAGATCTAGCGTATACGCTCCTACAAGCGAGTACATTTTGTGGAACAATGTTTTCGGTTTGGCACTGGAAAGGTGGAAACCTTTAATGGAAATACTAATTAATAGCAAAGGGATTGCGTTTTATGGCGCCTCTATATGTTATGCATGTAAAATGAGTTTCACGGAATAGTTGAGGGAATATGTAATTTTCGCCTTTAAACGTAAAGCAGGAAAGCTCGAAGCTTCTTACCTTTGAATCGTATTTTATTGTATTAGGTGGAATATATATTTTTCCATTTAAAAGCTTTTGTATACATTTTTTCGAATTCGTGGTACTAGAAGAAGTGATTCGTTGAACTAAAAAAGCAATCAGAAGGCTCATAAATTTGAAAACCAATTATTAATGTTTCCACGCAAATTTCTCTAAAGTGTTTAAGTAATTTTTGTTTGTTTACTTATTTGCATGAATTAATGTTTACTGCAACTGCAAGTTTCAACTCAGATATAAAGAGAGCATAGATAAATAAATATTCCATGAGACTTTCAGTTTAGTTGCTAATTATACGATACGGCACGAGAAAGTTCCGTGAATGATTTTTTGCAAAAGTGAGACAAAACATTGTTCTGATTAATTTTATTGACCATTTTAATTTTATTTCATGACTTTGTGCGCTTATTTAATGTACTTTTCTGGAAATTTGGCGTTTTTGATAACCGAGCCCCAATGCCCCTTTTTTAGTAACCAGTTTACAAAGCTTTAATTACTTTCTGACTTAATTTTTCAAATCAGAAAAAGTTGCTTTTTTCAATCATACTTGTATTTCTATTGCGCAGTTTTGTTTCATCCTTAGCAGATGAAGATGAAAGGAAAAATGTAATATAAGTAAAAGTGAAGCAAAAAATTGCCCTTTGTCCCGAGCGTTGTTGAAATTGGACTAGGATTTATATTAAAACTCCATGAAACCGCTTTTCCAGAAAATGGATGCTGGTTATAAATCTCTGTTTATAAGGGACAAATGTGCTGTAAAATGAATTTCACAATAAAGAACAACATTTCAAGAAAATTAACTCCTATGTGTGGAACGGTCGGCAAAGGAAGGTCATTTAGTGATATATTCCCTGGAAACATTCCACATCCAACTTTTATGCTAATTATTGTAAATGCACTCCCGTGGCGGCTTCAGTGGTTAACAGTTAGGATATTTAGTGGTCTATTTAACATTG